GGGGGGGGGGGGGACAGCTGTTATCTTTTTCCCCCTGGTGAAGGTGAAGGCTGTTTTTTATGTTGTCGCATCATGTCTCGGGGACGATTCCGCTGCTACGCAGCCCCGATGATGACACTCCCTGCGCTCGAACTGTCTGCAACAAGCGCTTGGACGCTTTGTTGAGCTGCTCTGATGAAACGATTGCTTTCGTTTGATCAATAAGCTAGACCTGTCCACCGCGTAGTTGAAGTCGGAGGCTGTTTTCAATGCTTTGCTGAAGGGGAGCATTTGTCGCATCATGAATCGGGGCGCATTCTGCTGCTACACAGCTGAAGACACTCCCTGCACTCAAACTGTCTGCAACAAGCGATTGGATGCTTTGTCAAGCTGCTGATGAAACGATGCTTTTGTGTAGTCTATAGCGAAGACCAGTCCCTGTGTTTGGTGAAGTCGGCGGCTGTTTTCGATGTTTTGCTGGAGCATTGTCGCTTCACGTATCGGGGCGCATTCTGCTGCTACACAGCTGACGACACTCCCTGTGCTCGAACTGTCTGCAACAAGCGATCGGATGCTTTGTCGAGCGGCTGATGAAATGGTGCGCTTTCGCTTAGTCCTAGCTACTAGACCTGTCCACCCACCAGGTACTTGGCGACGTTCTTGATATTTGACTGAGGAGTGAGGGGAGCATTATCACACCATATCTGGGTGCGCATTCTGTTGCTTGCACAGCTGATGACACCCCATGAGCTCAGGTGCTCTGCAACAGGTGATCATGCGATTCTTGGTGGACTGTACTTCATGGTGATGAAGGAGCTTTGAATCTTATCCTACCTCGTCGAAGGGTCAATAGGCTTGAGAGCGATTTTCGTTTTTCCTGCTGCCGAAGTGAGGAGCATGTACTCCCTCGGAGAGCGCAATCCCCAGTCCATATGTGGATGCAAATGACATCAACATCAAGTTGCCTTCAAGCACAACATTGTACAGTTGGCTCTGGGGATGAGCCAGCACGACGACGTCTTTTTTGTGCCACTTCTTGTTGTCTTGTATAAAGGGTCAAGCGAGATTGTTTCCGCCGTTTTGTTGCTGAATCGACAAGCATACTATACTTGTATGATCTCAGATTCTCGGCACGAGATCGAGTTGGCAGTCTCCAGAGCAGGTGATGGTTCCACTTCGCAAGAAGAGATTCAAAGGATGGCTATCAGATCAGGCTTGATACGGATCTGAGTTAAACGTCTTTTTCGTCGTGGATGAGTGTAACGCTGAACGGCGTATGCGGGGTGCTTTTTCTCGATTCATGGGAGTGAGTTCGGCTCCGCTAATTCTACTTACTTACTGTACAGGAAGGGAGGAGGGGGGGAACGGAGTGAGAAGAGCAACGGTGAAGGGTGGGGTGGGTGTTAAGTAGGTAACCCCTGTGAGGCAAAAAAGCACAGCGAGATGATCGTCGTGGTGCGGTCTCAGGAGTCGGATTAGTGCGAGTGGTTGAGCGAGCAAGAGATTTTGGTAAAAAAGCACAGCGAGATGATCGTCGTGGTGCGGTCTGAGGAGTGGGAGGAGTGCGAGTGGTTGAGCGAGCAAGAGATTTTGGTAGAAACGCACAGCGAGATGATTGTCGTGGTGCGGTCTGAGGAGCGGGAGGAGTGGGAGGAGTGCGAGTGGTTGAGCGAGCAAGAGATTTTGGTAAAAAATGCACAGCAAGATGATTGTCGTGGTGCGGTCTGAGGAGCGGGAGGAGTGTGAGGGGTACTTTTTTTGAGTGCAGGTTCTGTGATTCATGCAATGTCTGATGAACAAGATATGCGCAAAATGGGATGATTAGCTTCTTTGTCACCTGCGAGCGAGCAAGAGATTTTGGTGAAAAAGCACAGTGAGATGATCGTCGTGGTGCGGTCTGAGGAGCGGGAGGAGGGTGAGTGGTTGAGCGAGCAAGAGATTGGCGGCATCTCGTCTGTTGTTCTGGTGAAGAGGAGCAAGTGTAAGCAGTGGCGAGTGTTAGCCTCTCGTGGTAAAAAAGCACGGTGAGGTGATCGTCGCGGTGAAAAAGATTGAGCGCTTACAGCGGAGAGGTGATCATCGTGGTAAAAAAGCACAGCGAGGTGATAAAGATTGAAGAGAGAGGGAGCAGTATGTGTGAGCGAGCGAGTGATTTTGGATGCACCTCGTGTCCGTATTTGGTTGTGAAGATGCCTATTGTGCATGTCTATGGATGGTAACAGCTCAAAGGGCAAAGTGACGGAAGCGCACACCGCAGAGGTGAGGGGAGCGATGTCTCGCACGTGTTGGATCGGGCTTATGGACCTCGCTCCACTACTCAACATTCTGAATGCTTTTGGACTCCCTTCTGGGCCAGGTGCGTTTGGATTCGTCCAACATCTCGAATATATCAGGACTATTACGAGTTCCAGATACAGTTAAACTCAACATTCTGAATGCTTTTGGACTCCCTTCTGGGCCAGGTGCGTTTGGATTCGTCCAACATCTCAAATATATCAGGACTATTACGAGTTCCAGATACATTTAGAGTGTTGTGTAGTGGAGCGAGGCCCGATGTCTGTGTAGTCATCGTGGGGGGTTGTGTCACATTAATTGAATCTAATTCCCTTTGCGAGACGTGATGAGCATCTTTGGAGGGACAGGTCAGCGGGAGTGAGATGCTCTGAAGATCTCGGTGATGTCTCGCGCGTCTTGGACGCGCCTGATGTTTATATTTCATTGTGACGAGAGTTGCATCCCATCGATAGCTGTTTTTGTTTGAGAGATGTGATGGGCATCTCTGATAGGGGAACTGGTCGGAGGCGAGGGGAGCAGCCGAACTTTTGATGTCCCACACGTCTTGGGTGCCGACCAGCCGAACTTTTGATGTCCCACACATCTTGGGTGCCCATTTTGTTCGTATTTCATTTTCGGGAGCCGTTGTTGCCCGCCATCCCCCGTGGTGCGATTGGATGCCGCTCAGGCTCTGTCTGCCGTGATGCCCCCATCGTACGAGGCCATGGACATTTTGCAGGGATAGCTCCGGCGCAGGAGGAGCGAGTCCGAGCGACCTTTCCGTGTTTTTTTTTCGCACCCTTCGATGCGCCTCATTCATGGCTGGGCGCCGTCGTGACGCGTTGCGTCATATCAAACCCTATGGTGGGATCCAGGCGACGGGCTAACACCACTCCTATGTTTCACATGTCTATATTCCCCCGATTATTTCGATTTTTGCAACTTCAGAGGTACTTTTTTTTCAATCACAGCCTCCTCCATCGCAGATTTGTGTCATAGTTTTCAATGCCAGCTGGGTTTACCACGGCGCCTACCCTGTGATTTCATTTTGAAAGGAGTCGTTGAGATCTCACATAGCAATTCACACATCTGGTCATCAATGGACAGGGACAGGCAAGGAATCGTAGCCGCATGTTTGTGCTGGCTGCTCTGTCTGCTGTCATCGTGGGAGCAATAGGCTGCAGCAGGTTGTCATGCTGGACCGTGGACGCTTTCTCGCTCCCCAGAGTCGACTCCGTGCCAGCTAATAGAATCTCTCATGTGCAGAGGCCGCCTTCGCAGATATCCCCCGGTCTGACGTACCTGGTCGCAGGGAGGAGTTAAATGCAGGAGAAAAAAAATGTACAATCAGCCTGGCAGGTTGGGGGTCGCAAATCTCAGTTGTCAATTGGAAGAATACGCTACCGCCGTCGTGCTTTGCACCGCGCATGGGATTCCAGCTGAACGCCTCTAAATTAGAATCTGTGATTGCAGCGGTGCCGTATGCCGCGTCGGTCGGATGACACCCGACTGACTGTCGATAGGGCCAGCCCGTCTGGCCCCGAAAGAGTCGTCCCTCCTACGGAGGAGCACCGGCGCGTGAGGATTCTTCTTTTCATCACAATTTCTTTCGCTCGGGAAGTCGAACCCTTTGCAGACGACTTAGACAGGGAATGGGGTGTTGAAAGCAGTAGACTGGCCCTGTCGTCACAATCTCTTGCGATTCGGACCTTTGTTCCGAAGGTTTCTCCCACCTTCTGGCTACCGCCGTGCTACCGTCTTCCCCCGAACATAACGCACCCTAAAAATGAATGTATACAGGCTATATTTCCGGCCAGATACAGCCAAAATAAGGGTGCGTTGTGTTCAGGGGAAGACGGTAGTACGAGAAAAGACAGGTGCTAGGTGACATTCTCGCGTAAGGGGAAATGCGGGGGGAAAACACGTAGGGCCTCGCTCCACTAGTCGACAGACATTCGACAAGTATATGGACCGGTGAGTGGACCAGATACGTTTGTAGTGCAACGAGGGCGAGGCCCTTGTGTTGTGGTGGCTAATAGGGGTGCAGAATCTGCAGATGTTTTCTGGCTATCATTCGAGGTCAGATGCATCGAGATGCCGGTGTAATGGCAGCAGGCACATACATTTCGGAAGAGTGTGAGAACGCACTAAATGCTGCAGAATCTGCCAATGTGAAAATGATCTGGCTATCATTGTGCGAGTCTTTGGCCTGCAGGCACGGAGTTCGCTGCAGAATGCATGCTTGTCCGCCGCCATCACATTCTCCCGGCAAGCAACATGAATGGAGGAGGTGGGCCGTGTTAAAGCAATCGTGATGAGAATGGACCCTTGCGAGGAAGGTTGCGCCGAACGGGGGCTGCGGTATTCAATTAGGAAACAAGGGCGCACAGCGGTTGTTGTAGAATGCACATTCAGTATCGTGTTCCTCCGCAGAGCAGCACCCGCGGATAGGGAGGAATTGCGATCGGAGTCCTCACGATGTAGGCAGCAGCGAACGGGGGTTGATGTATCAAGTCCTCGCGAGGAAGGTTGCGGCAAATGGGGGATGATGTGAATGCAACTACGAAACAAGGCTGCACAGGGTTCACTGTAGAATGCACGTTCGGCGTTGCGTTCCCCCGCGAAGCCGTACGCGTGGAGGAGGGCCACAGGGAGGAATTGCGATCGGAGTCCTCACAACGAAGGCAGCAGCAAACAGAGGTTGTGATATGCGACAATCACACAAGGCAACCAAATCAGAGGGTTTAGGGTGACGAGCAAACAGAGTATGAAAAGCATTCTTCTTTGGCAGGCAGGCAGTGAGTGAGTGAGTCAGTGAGTGAGTGAGTGACGAGTCAAAAATAAGGATGTTCAGGAGTCATCCAGATGCACGAAACGCATCGAGGCCGATCAGAGGGGGTGTGGGATCCGCGGGATGCAAATTGTCGAGGCACCTCATGTGCAGAGGGGGGGGGGGGGGGGGGGGGGGGGGGGGGTCCTTGGGTGGTGGGGGAAAGATGGGGGGGGGGGGGGGGGGGGGGGGGGGGGGGTCAGGTGGAGACCTGTGATGGGGAAAGACACACCAATGGTGTAGCCGTGAGGGTTAGATGGGACTGGTGAGGGAGAAGGACCGACCCATGTGCGGAGCCATTAGGGGACGATTGGTCAGTTGCGCTCGTGGCGCACATACGACTGTGTGATATGCTGTTCATACTTGCAGGTTTTTCTCTTTGTGTGTGTTGATACGCCTAATAACTCAGTCTCTGAAGTGGAGGCTTCCTAACACTAGCTGTAGGAGAGGAGGAGTGAGGAAGGAGTAAAGAAAGAGGGGGGATGAAAGGACAGAAGGGGAGGAGGGAGGATGGGAGAAAGGGAGCGAGGGATGGGAGGCAAGGAACGTGGAAGGAAATAATGAGTGGAGGAGTGAGGAAGAAGTAAAGAAAGAGGGGGGACGAAAGGACAGAAGGGGAGGAGGGAGGATGGAAGAAAGGGAGGAAGGGATGGGAGGCAGGGAACGTGGAAGGAAATAATGAAAGAAGAAGGAAGAAGGGGGGGGGGAAGGAGGGAGGGAGGGAGGGAGAGAGGGAGACAGGGAGGAACGAAGGAATGGGGGATGGGAGGAGGTGAAGGGGAGGAAAGAAAAAGGGAGGGAGGAAGGATGGATTGATGAGGGAGGGAGGGAGAAAGGAAGGAAGGAAGGAATGCATGTTAAGAGGGAGAGTAAGGGGGAGAGGGAGAGAGGAGGAAAAGGGGGAGAGAGAGGGAGGGAGAGAGGGAGAGGGAGAGAAGGAGAGATGAAATAGAAGCTGGGAGAGAGGGAGGAGGTAAGGACGGCATGAACGGGAGAATGGGACGAGGGAACCAATAGGCTTAAACAAGGAAAC